TGTGCTTGTTTAGTCCTGGCAATGTGCCTATAGTATATTTCTTTCTTTTAAAATTTTTAATCAGGATTTTAAATATTGTTTATGTACATCTCATTGTATTTGTGTTAGCATTCACCAATTGGATGTAAAAAAAAAATTTTCCTCCTATAATACCACACCCATAAAAATTCAAAAATCCATCTCCAAAGAGAGAGTGAAAGTCAAGGGGAAAGGCAGAAATGTCTCTCTTATTTTTATTTACTTCATCGGCATATGTTGTGTCATACTCATGTACTATTCTATTGCTGCTGTTATCCACTAATGTGCAGAGTAATGGCAAACTGTAATACTTTCAGAAGACCTCTCAAAAGAGCCCAGGCAAGGGTAATTGTTAAGCCCTGTGGCATTTACCAGTTGTAATCAGTTTGTTCAGTTCCTATTTCCCAAAGACACCTTTTTTTTTTTTTTAACCTGATGCATTCACTGTTTGCAACTATTTTTACTGTTTGTTTCTAGGAGCCAGTCAGTGTAATCCCATGGCAGTTTATTCTGTTGATAGAATTAATGCTTCCATATAAAAAGCCTGTTGCAGTTGCTCTTTTTAATTTGTATTTTTGGTGAGCTAGAGCATCTAAATTTTTTAAAAATGGAATGAATTCTTCATTTTGAAATAGCCCTTCTTCTCTTGAAGACTTCTTGTTTCATCACTGGGGTGATTTATGGTTGCAACAACTAAATCTGATGTGTCTACAGGACTGGGCTCTGCAGAGCCACTTGCAGGACAGGGGCCTTTATTTGTATTAAATGAGAAATTTATCCAGAATCGACACCTCAGTGGGAATCTCCATTGAGAATTAGTTCATTCCCTATGGAATCAAAGTATTTTAATGGCCCCAACACAGATAAATGCTTAGACAACTGAGTGTCACTGCTGCTAACCATAAAGAGGATATGTTTCAAAAGATACTTTCAGTAGCATTAGTCACTGACGAGTCAGCTGTCCACTATTTCATTAGATATTGACTGTACAGAACTCTGTTCCACGCTCAAATATTGGTTTCATTGTAAAGTTTAGTCTGGGTTCTTTGCCTGATTTCACCCATAAAATAGAAAACTCAGTAATAAGTAATACCTCCTCAGAAAAGGTATATTAGAAATAGAAGAAGGCCAGAAAATAACTGTTGGGGATGTTGAAATGCCTACAGTTATCCTTGGGGACCCAGCCTACCCCTTAATGCCCTGGCTCATGAAGCCGTACACAGGCACCCTGGACAGTAGTAAGGAGCTGTTCAACTATAGGCTGAGCAAGTGCAGAATGGTGGTAGAGTGTGTATTTGGACGTTTAAAGGGTTGCTGGCACAGTTTACTGACTCGCTCAGACCTCAGCAAAACCAATATTCCCATTGTTATTGCTGCTTGCTCTGTGCTCCACAATCTCTGTGAGAGTAAGGGGGAGATGTTTATGGCGGGGTGGGAGGTTGAGGCAAATCGCCTGGCCGCGGAATACGCGCAGCCAGACACCAGAGCGGTTAGAAGAGCACAGCAGGAAGCGCTGTGCATCAGAGAAGCTTTGAAAACCAGTTTCATGACTGGCCAGGGTACTGTGTGACACTTCTGTTTGTTTCTCCTTGATGAAAACCCGCCCCCTTGGTTGCTTCTAAATTCCCTGTAAGCCACCCGCCCTCCCCTCTTCTATCACAGCTTGCTTGCAAAAGAAATAGTCACTATCGTTTAAAAAACATGTATTCTTTATTAATTGATTACAAAATAGGGAGATAACTCACAAGGTAGCCCAGGTGGGGTGTGGAGGAGGGTAGGAGGGAAGGAAAAGGCCACTTTAAAACTTCTTGAATGCCAGCCTTCTGTTGCTTGGGCTGTCCACTGGGGTGGAGTGGTTGGGTGCCCGGAGCCTTCCCCCCCAGACCCCTCCCCCCCGTTCTTGGGCATCTGGGTGAGGAGGCTATGGAACTTGGGGAGGAGGGAGGGCCGTTAAACAGGGGCTGCAGCAGCAGTCTCTGATCCTGCTGCCGTTCATGAACCTCCACCAGACGCCAGAGCATGTCTATTTGATCCCGCAGTAGCCCCAGCGTTGCCTCATGCCTCCTCTGATCTTCCTGCCGCCACCTCTCCTCACGTTCATCGGCCACTTTCCTGTACTCTGCTACTGTGTCCCTCCACACATTCTGCTGAGCTCTGTCAGTGCCGGACGATTGCATGAGCTCAGAGAACATTTCATCGCGCGTGCTGTTTTTTCGCTGCCTTATCTGAGATAGCCTTTGGGACAGAGGAGGGAGGCTTGAAACATCTGCAGCTGCTGGAGGGGAAAAAAGGGAGTGAAGTATTTTGACAGATACATTTTACAGAACAATGGCTATACTCTTTCATGGTGAACAACACTATTCACATTACATAGCACATATGATTTCGGTACAAGGTCGCATTTTGCATCTTATATTGAGTGCCTGCGGCTTTGGTATTAGAGATCACACACGCAGTCCCAGGCAACAGAATTCAGCTTGCAGGCAGCCATGGTAAGCCATAGTCTTTTGGCTTCTGCAACCTTCATAACAGCAGCGCCCTCCTCTCCAATACCAAGCAAAGCCCGTTGAGTTGGCCATTTAGTGCTGCAGTTTTCGTGTTAACGTGCAGCAGCAGAAACCAAACTAACCCCCCCGCCCATCCAATTCTCTGGGATGATCGCTTTACCCCACTGTGTGGCTGGTATCAGGGAAGATCCCTGCTAGCCAAACGCAAACAGCTCAGCGCCAATGGCGTGGCTAACTGCGGGGAGGATTTCTTTTCAGCCACAGGCCAACAGCCCAGTAGGAACGGCCACCTCTGAATGTCCCCTTAATTAAATTCCCCTATTTCAACCAGGGTACCATGAACGATATCACTCTCTTGAGGATAACAGAGAGAGATAAAGAACGGATGTTGCTTGAATGCCAGCTAACACCGGGACCGTACGCTGCCAGCCTTTGTCACGCAATGATACCAAATTACTTGCTACTAGCAAAGCGTGGTAAAGTGTCCTACCATGGAGGATGGAATAAGGCCGCTCTCCCCAGAAACCTTCTGCAAAGGCTTTTAGAGTACCTCCAAGAGAGCTTCATGGAGATGTCCCTGGAGGATTTCCACTCCCAGACACGTTAACAGACTTTTCCAGTAGCTGTACTGGCCACGAATGCATCCCAAGTCTTCAGGGCTACTTAATCATTAAAAAACGCTTGCTTTTATAACATGTATTATCTTTAAAAAGGTACACTCACCAGAGGTCCCTTCCCTGGCTTTGTTGGGTTGGGAGGGTATTTCAGTCAGGGTGATAAAAAGATCCTGGCTGTCGGGGAGAATGGTGTGCTGTGTGCTGTCCTCAAGCTCATCCTCTTCCTCCTCATCTTCCCCGTCTGCAAAATTCTCAGGCATGGGGGAGAGTACACCATCATCAGAGTCCATGGACAGGAGTGGGGTAGTGGTGGAGGCCCCCCCTAGAATTGCATGCAGCTCAGCATAGAAGCGGCATGTCTGGGGCTCTGTCCCGGAGCATCCGTTTGATTCTTTGGTTTTCTGGTACGCTTGTGTGAGCTCCTTAAGTTTCACGCGGCACTGTGTTGCATCCCTGCTGTAGCCTCTGTCCCTCCTGGCCTCAGAGATTTTTTGAAATGTTTTGGCATTTTGTCTTTTGGAACAGAGTTCTGATAGCACAGATTCCTCTCCCCATTCAGTGATCAGATCCAGTACCTCTCATTAGGTCCATGCTGGAGCTCTTTTTCGATTCTGGGACTGCATGGTCACCTGTGCTGATGAGCTCGCCTGGCCAAACAGGAAATGAGATTCAAAAGTTCCTGGATCTTTTCCTGTACACCTGGCCAGTGCATCCGAGTTCAGAGCGCTGTCCAGAGCGGTCACAATGGTGCACTGTGGGATAGCTCCCAGAGGTCAATACCTTCGAATTGCATCCACACTAACCCTAATTCGAAACGGTGATGTAGATTTCAGCGCTAATCCCCTCGTTGTGGAGGAGTACAGAAATCCGTTTTAAGAGCCCTTTATGTCGAAAAAAATGGCTTTGTTATGTGGACGGGTGCAGGGTTAATTCGATTTAACGCTGCTAAATCTGACATAAACTCATAGTGTAGACTAGCCCTTAGACATTCCCTGAACCATCTGCCATAATGATGTATGGTTTCCTGGCAGTAGCACTTCTCTATAGTTGTGTATAGTTGGTTTATTTTGGTTTTGTTTTTTTTAAGTTAGCTAACATAGGTACTTTGGCTTTGCATACATTTCACAATGGTCAGTTTTCCGATATGTGAAGATCTTTTCTGTGGCTCTTCTGCATAGGTTAATTGTCACATAAATATTAAAGCTGCATAGAATTTTGAGGCAGGTTTCTGCCCTTTCGATTGTACAAACCACCAAAATTTCTGTCCCATAGTTTTTATTAAGGTAATTGAGACATTTGTTCAAGTAGAGTAAAACACTTCAACAGAATACTGCATTCTACATGGTAAAGAAGATACATAAAGAGCCTCATGCTTCGTTTAATAGTCGCTATTCCCAGAAATGACTTATTCTCATACACAGTTGGCCACTTAAACTTGAGAACTTCACACAAATACATGTCTGGAGACTTTGAACCACAGTTCTTTGTCCAAGATGCTTGCAAGAAAAAATAGCCCGTGCTCTCCAGTGCAGTTTCTTCATCTTCAATGGTCAGTCTTCAACTGGTGTTAAGGGTTTACATGAATTATTCGGCTATCTATGTCCATAAAGAAAAATGTACTGTGTTGTTTGCTCTTTTATCGGTGATGTTTGAGTTCTTTTGGTCCTCCTGTGAGAATCCCTAAAGGACCTCTCTTATCAATACATAATGCTGCCCATCAAGGGCTCAATTCCTGTAGGTGCTCAGAGCCTCTGCTCTCATTGAAATAAATGAATAGAGTGTGGTCTGACCCCAAATGAACAGTGATCAGAAGGCAAGAAAATAAAGAAAGATCACAGTGTTGATTTTTCCTCTCCAGACGCGTTTCAACCAACACCTCGCCAATGTCAGCAATCATGATTCTGCCCTGGATGATGACGATGATGATGAAATGGACAGAACAAGCAAGTAAGCAACCTCTCTGTGTGTGTGTGTGTGTGTAGAGAGAGAGAGAGACAGAGAGAGAGAATATATGTATGTCAGTCTGTCCCACAAATGGATTTTTAAACCAGTTGAGTTCATGTGAGTGAATATTTTGCCAGTGTGACTCCTGACCTAAAAATTGCTACATGTTCTAGTGTCTAATATGGAAATAAAATCCTACTTTTAGTAGCAGAGAAACAAGGGCAGCATATTATTATTATTATTTATTATTATTTTATTTATTTGTATTATTATAGCACCAATGAGCCCTAGTCATGGACTAGGACCCCTTTGTGCTTGGCACCGTACACTCAACAAAAAGATGGTCCCTCTCCCAAAGAGCTTATATATACATGCAAGACGAGACAACAGACTGATACAAACAAGTAGATGAGGTAGGAGGCAAGGAGACAAGGAAACAAGGAGACAATATTGGTCAGCATGAAAGTCAGTGATCTCAGTGCACAACCAGCCTAACCATTGTCAAGTCTTTTTAAGGCATCACAGCAATGGAGAGCTTTTAGGAGGGTTTTGAAGAAGAATAATGAGGTAGTTTTGTGGATCTTTATACACAAATGTAAGGCATATGGGGAATGAACATTCTCATAAGCAGACTAGGGAAATGTGGTCTTCATGAAATTACTATAAGGGGAGGTCACAACTGATTGAAAGACTTTACTCAATATGTAGTTATCAGTGGTTCACTGTCAAACTGATGGGATGTATCTGGCAGGGTCCAGCAGGAGTCTGTCGTGGATCCAGTATTATTCAATATTTTCATAAATGATAGATAATGGAGTGGAGAGTGTTCTTATAACATTTGCGGTTGACACCAAGCTGGAGGGTTGCAAGCACTTTGGAGGACAGAATTAGAATTCAAAAGAACCTGGATAAATTGGAGAATTGATCTGAACTCAAATAAGATGAAAGTCAATAAAGACAACTGCAAAGTACTACACATAGGAAGGAAAAATCAAGTGCACATCTACAAAATGAGAATAATTGGCTAGGCTATAGTACTGCTGAAAAGGATCTGGGAATTATAGTGGATCATGAATTGAATGAGTCAGCAATGTGATTCTATTGCAAAAAAGGCTAATAATATTCTGGGGTGTATTAACAGAAGTGTTGTATGTAAGACCTGGGAGGTAGTTGTTCTGCTCTAGTTTCCACTGGTGAGGCCCCAGGAGCTGAAGTACTGTGTCCAATTCTGGGCACCACATTTTAAGCAAGGCAAATTGGACAGAGTCCAGAAGAGAGCTACAAAAATGATAAAAGTTTAGAAAACCTGATCTATGAGGAAAGGTTAAAAAAACTGGGTATGTTTAGTCTTGAAAAAAGAAGACTGAGGGGGGACCTGATAAATGTCTCCAAATATGCTAAGCACTGTTATAAAGAGGATGGTGATTGATTGTTCTCCATGTCCATTGAAGTAGGACAAGAAGTAATTGGCTTAATCTGCAGCAACAGAAATGTAGGTTATATATGAGGAAAAACTTTCTAATCATAAGGACAGTTAAGCACTGGAACAGGCTTCCAAGGGAGGTTATGGAATCCCATTACTGGAAGCTTTTAAGAACAGGTTAGACAAACACCTGTCAGGGGTGATCTCCCTTCAAGGTCCCTTGCCTCCCTGCATTTCTATGTTTATAAGGGCTTTTTCCGAGCAGGAGGAACATCATGGGAGAAAGCATAAAGGTATTTGTTTGGAAAAATGATGAGTGGGCAATGAAGGCTGGCATCATGGGCTAACCGGAGACATGAGTCAACATCTCAATAGTGAATGAAAGATGATAAATAGGATGGGGATACATCATGAAGGGTCATGGAAGTGAAATCAGGCAGCATATGTTTGATGTGAGGGCACTGAAACTTGTGCCTAAGGGGTCAGGTGGGACATCAACATCAAAGTTGAAGTCACCGAGGGAGATTGTGAGGAGAATAGAGAGAGAGTCAGGAGACAAAATCAGAGAGGAAGGCTGATGAGGAGGATGTTGGGTGGATGATAGATGAGAGCAACAAAGGGAGTTGGGGAGAGGAGGGAAAGGTTGCATGCAGTGCTGTCCAGAAGGGAAGGAGGAGGGTGAAGGAAGTGTCAGGAACAGGAGAGGAGAATCTCAACACCCCTGCCACGATCCAAAGCAGGGAGTTTGTGAGGAGGAGAGGCCTCCATAAGAGAGGAGAGCTGCAAAGACAAAGTGAGAGGAAGGGATCCAGATCCCTCTGAGAGTCAGGGGCTGGAGGTAGCCAGCTATGAAGAAGTTGTGATCTTTTTAGAGATGGAGTAAGCATTCCAGAGTTGGTAAGAGAAAAGGAGAAACAAAGGAATGGGGAAGAAGGGGAATGAGTACGAGTGTAGAAATGGTGGTGGTGATGAGGGTGGGAGGTGGAGAGGGTGGGAGGGCTAGGACTGGGGTAAATGTGGGACCTAAATAAAGAGGAAAGTAGATGTGGGACCTATATTTGTGCTGCTGGGAGTCGCTGACTTTCATTCTCTCCTTCCAGCCGCTTGGCTACAGTTATTGCATCCTGCTGTACTTCTTAACCAGAATGGTAATAAGCATTGAGACTGAAGTTACAGTCGGTGCTGATCTCCTTTACTTTGATGAATAGAAAAAATATCTACATGCTACCAGTAGCAACATGATTTTTCTCCTTATTTATTAATGGTGTCTGTGTTATCATTTTCCAGTCAAATACTGTCAATATGTAGACCATATTCGAAAAGGCTGTTTGTACTCTGTGAACTTTATTTTCGTAATGCTACACATAAAATAAATCCATCACTACTTAATGCTGGCTTTACAAGACCTGGCCTCCTTTTTTGTTTCTGTATGTTACTGGGGCATGTAGATACCTACTCCCTGATTGCACCTGCATCTGTCTGCATGTTCTTATTTGCAGGTGAAATTGTTGGAACAAACGCCAGGTTAAGTCCACTTTCAAATTCAAATGGCCTCTGAATAAGCTATCCTTATTTACTTACAGAAGTGGCCATTCTGACATCATAAAATATTTTACGTTTTTAGCTGATGGAAAGTTTATTGTTTTTAGGTTATCATCTGAAGACAGCGAGGAAGCTTCCGCTTATTTTTATGATAGTGACGATTCTGGTGAAACAGGAGTAATGTCTTATCACACAGGAGAAATGGACTTGCTGGGAGAGATTTTGGACACGCTGAGCACACACAGTTCAGATCAAGGAAAGCTCTCAGGAGCAAAGAGCCTGGATTTCTTTAGATCAACGGATGATATTGATTATAAGGCTATGGTTAGTCATCTTTTTCATGTGTAAAACAACCTCATTAATTTAGAATAGAAGCTGGCACTCGCTGGTGGAAACTGCATGCATGGCCCAGTATGTGGAAGAATGGTTCATACGTCACAACTGTGCCTTGCTGCTGCTCCAAAAACCAGAAGCATGTTTTTCTAACAAACTCATGCTGCTAGCCACAGTATGAATGCTCCTCAGCTGAGGATTTGGGTATACTCCTTTCCAGTTTATCAGTGGTGTGCCATTAGATGCGGTAACCACATCTAGGGCTTGTTGGGAATCCTCCCTGCTGCTGCACGGGGGTCTTATGTTCTCTCCCTCTATCCCCTGGGCAGGAATTGGTCTCAGTTATCGTTCTAGAGGCTGTTGATAATAATTTGGACTCCCCAATTGAAAATAGGGGTAAGTATATCACTCTGGGGAAGTTTCCCAGCTTGTTTAAGTCATGGGATCCAAGGAGTCATTGCTTTACAAACGATTTCATTTTCAGTTTAGCAGTCTAAGGCTCCACCCTACAAATGGGTCTGCCCACTCAAGGCTTCTAATTCACGGTCCCATTGGACCCAGGGCACAGATTCTTTTGCAGGATCAGAGCTTTTGCTAAATCTTTAAAATCTTCATTAGATCAGCTCCCTGGTGTTGGTGACCACTGTCAAAAGACTTTTGTATCTGTAAGTTTCAACTTCTGTGTTTGGTGCTTAAGATTTGCTGTTGTCAAAAGCACTCCCATATTAGCGATCCTTTGCTGGAACAATTAACTCTGATGCTAATCCAGATCAACATTGATGTTATAAGCACCATACAAGGATTGCATTAATAAAATATCCATTTTGTTTGTGAACTAAAAGATTAATAATAAATGTGTGTGGAACTGATTACTGAAACGAAGAATAGAAATCCCAGTGATTATGGGTGAGACAAGGTGGGTGAGGTGATATCTTTTATTGGATCAGCTTCTGCTGGTGAAAGAGACAAGCTTTTGAGCTTACACAGAGCTCTTCTTCAGATCCGAGAAGTGTACTCAGACTGTCGCAGCTAAATACAAGGTGGAAGTAGATATACCGTGGGAAAATCTGCTTCAGTACAGGGCAGAGAACCTCTGACCACACACCTCTAGTTGTCACCTACCACTTTACACTGAAACCCACGTGAGGTATCATTAAACAATTAAAACCCATACTCCATGGGGACCACATCCTGAAAGAAGAATTTCCCAAACCTCCTCTTCTGGCCTTCAAACAACCCCCAACATCATCATCAGATGCAAGCTCTCCAGAGATCAGACATACCAATTCAAAGCAGCACCAGACCTGCCAGAACATCATGCAAAACCAGTAGACATATCTCTGCTGCTAAAATGAGCAATATCCCCCACAACACACCTTTCAAGATTTGTGGGTACTACACATGCCTATCACAACATGTGGTGTACCTCACCCAATGCACTAAATGGCTCAATAACAATTATGAGGTGAAACCAGACAGTCACTACGCTCTCGAATGCACTCACACAGAAAAGTGATAAAAGACAAAAACACCCTATCATCTAGGGGCAAACACTTTTCACAAAGTCATCACTCTATATCTGACCTGTCAGTCCTCATTCTAAAAGGAAACCTGCACAGCACTTTCAAAAGATGAGCCCAGGATCTAAAGTCATAGCTGTGCTAGACACTAAAAATCATGGTCTTATAAAAATACTGGATTTATGGCTTATTACAACAATCTGTAACCCACTAACCCCCCTTTTTTGTCCTATGACTAGAGAGGAGTTAACTGTCCACTTCACCTTGAAAGGTATTACAGTGTGTTTTAACTACTTATGCTAAACAACCTGTTCCACCTTGCATTTAGCTGTGACCTTGGGAATACCTTTCCCAAACCTGGAGAAGAGTTCCATGGAGCTTGAAAGCTTGTCTCTTTCACCAACAAAAAATTGGTCTAATAAAAGATATTATCTCACCCACTTGTCTCTCTAATATCCTGGGACCAACACTGCCAACAGTGGCCATGGGTCTGAATCTCAATTTCTTATCTCATAATGCAAAACCACAATTGCAACTGACACAGGCTATACCTTTGTGGTCAAGGTTGAATGGGCAATGGAGACTGAACTCTTTTGTCATTCCTAGAGGTGATCTTTAAATGTCGGGATGAGGCAGTGTCAAAAAGCTTGCATTGCAATTTCCCAGCTATGCCATTCTGTATCTAGGGAAATTCAGGGGATGTATATCCTTTCATGAAAACAGGATTTTTATTTCAGTGATGCGAGAGGAAGGGTTCTTCTTGTAAGATTAACTGTAAAAACACATGTTCTTTGTTTCAGAACAAGTCTAGTGCACCTAGTGAGAGCAACCTCGCTCTGCTCTGTAGTGGTACTAATGACCCAGTGGAGTGGAATCTTGGTCAGGATGATAGTGTTCTCCATGGGAAACAGCTCCCTCCATCACCAAGGAAGCAAGTTGATTTTAGTGACCATATGGAATCTGTCTCTGTGCTGCAGGAAGAAAACAGTGACAAAACCCTTAGTGCTGACCACGTGGATTTCCCTAAAGATTTTGTAAAGTCAGCTTCTCCAACACGATCAGTTGCACAACTTGCTTCTCTGGAATTTTCCCAAGTAGAAGACACCTTCCATAGGAAGATAAAACCGAATGAAACACTAAGCAATACCTCAGAGGATCAGCTCCCTGTGAACCTTTGTCAACATCCATCCATTCTAATTCCTTGGCAAAAAGACGGGGATGAAGGAAAGGAAACCCCAGAAGAAAGTGGGCTTCTTCATGAAGTTGTATCATTATGTAAAGTGACCTCTGCTTTTCACCACAGTTTAAACATTTCAGAGGATAATTACTCCAGTAATAGCAGTGGAAATAAAGCATAAAGGAACTTTGAAACTATTTCCATGGGAGGTTAAAGAGAGACTACTCAGGAGTCCATGTAATACATGATAACCAAAAGATCCCAAAGGAATAATTACTTTTACGTTTTAAAATCCTTGTGTTTTGATTAGTACATGGATTTAGACATCTGCTTATATGTTTCTCAGTTAATTTGTTGGCTGTGTTTAAGTCTACAAGATGGAACTAAATATACTAATGCACTCTTAAATCAGGTACTAGTTTGTATGTATGTGGAATATACAACTGGTGCATGGTGCTTACTAATGTTCCTTTGTGCAGCAGGAAGTGTATCATCTTTGCATATATCCAGATACTGAAGGTACTGTATTAATCCTGTTGGGCATGAAATGAACAAAACAGTTTAGATTTATCTGAAACTTACAAATATCGATGTTTGTAATGAGTTAATTGCCTTAATCATTTGGGGGAAAGGTTTATATATCTTAGAAGGTGACTTGCAAACGTTCAGAAGAGTAATAATGATTTTCCATGGCAGGTATCTGCTTGAGCAAAGGGGGAAAAGATCTTTTCTAAACTAAAGGATCTCTTGTGAATAATAGGGAGCTTGTTATAAACAGAAACTGTGGCCATGTCTTCTAGACCTTGAAAAGGTGGTGCATACTTTTTTCTTGTGAAGTGCTGAATGATAATGTGAAGTTACTTAACTTCTGTTTACAACTAAGGCACTTTAAAGACATATTATCCAGTGTCCCAATGTAGATGTTTTCATCTAGGAATTTTCAGAAAGGAAACTGTAAGTGAAATTGATAGATTTTATTGCTGTTTTAAAATTTCTACAATTTAATAATTCTGTACTAACATTAATTTGTGCCACTGCTGAACATGACCATTTGATTTTTACAAGCCACCTTTAAAAGAAACATTAAATTATCACTTTGCTTCTTAGGAGTTTTGTTTTGTTGAGCTGTGCAGTATTTTAAAGAGCAGTGAATGAAGATTACTTATAACACTAGACATCTAAAGTAATTGGTTCAGCAATTAAGAACGCAAATACCCCACCCTCATGTATGCAAGAGAATCTTTTTGCAATTACAAGGAAAGGAATTAAATGGATGCTGCATGTACTATATTTAGGCATAAACATTTATCCCCTTTCGAGCACATAGCATTCCTAGAGGATATTTCAGTATTTAAAATTCAAAAAGTAGACTCCTCCCTGAGTAGAGCACATCTATTCATTCTCCTTGTCCACCCCTCTTCTTCCCCTGCCCTCTGTAGATCAGAATGAGTACATTCTGGGGTGAACCACACTAGGCCAAAAATGGCAACTTTGAATACTGTCTATTGGCATGTGTAACACAAAGCAAGGAGTAACAGGATTTGTCATTGCGAGGAGTGCTCTCCCACTCTTCCTCACCAACAGCAGGAATCTTCTTCTGTGGCAAAGACAGCTTAGTGGTATCCTCAGCACAGACCATGGAGAGCAAGTTGAAGTCAGGGGTTGAGGCAGGTTGGGCTGCAGTACTTTGGTAGTGGATCACTACACAGGTTAACACCAGTTGCCATGTTTGGGTTTACAAAAGAAGTTTCCTTTTGACTAAAGCGATTTGGCTTTTCTTTTCCCGTTTTATCACCACGAGCATCAGGCAATTGGTTATGTCAGGTGGCTCAAGGGAATTGGTGTGTGATCCCTTTAGGGAGGTTGTGGGGGGAGGGGTGGCTGTTTGATGCTCTGCCCCTGAGATTTAGTGTCTAATACTATCTTGTCATTTCACATAACTTTGTTGGCAATATCCCTGGCGTTGTAAAAGAAGGTCTTGTATCCCAAACTACAGACTCTGAATAGGAGAAAAGGAGGGGGGAGGCAGATTTCAGCCACACCACTGGTGAGGATGGGCCACATTACTGGGTAATGGTATGAGGCCCCTTCACCAAAGTGCCCCGTTTTACGTGCAAGGGAAAAGGTCAGGTTGTGGACTCACAATTCATAATATAATGACCTTGGAAAGTTTTTATAGGTGTGTTCAGTATATATTTCTGAAGAGGACCTCAGCAGCTTATTGGTGCTGAGGATGATTGTAAGATTTGCATCCTGATCTGCCTTAGGGTTTTCTGTAGTACATATCACCATAGTATCTGAGATTCAGGTGGCATCTTTATTTGTGTTATCCCAAAAAGGGGCACTTGGCAAAACTGTGTTTGAGTTACTGAGGACCAAAATTATTATTAACCCATAAACTATTAAACATTTTAGCTGGGTTATCAGATATCAAGAAATAGGAAGTGTCAGGTCTGAACAGTGTTTAGATGGGGGAGCTCCAAGGAAAACACAAGATGTTGCAGGAGGTGGTTCAGGGAGTCAGGAAGTGGCATGCTGCTTTGTTGGTCCTGAATCAGTACCCAAGTAGGTTATGTTGTGCTGTTAGGTGCGTTTAGGATAAGACAGGAAAAAGAAAAGTCCTACCAATCTCATAGCACTTCTTGTTTGATTGTTACTCTGATAACACTAGAAACATGAAATGCTCAGTTGCATTCTTATTTGTGTAACTGCATTTTGCTAACCTTAATTCCATATACCAGAGGCTGGCAGGGGAACCCGGACCCACTTGTTTTACCACGTTCCAGCTCAGGGACCTTATAACCAGCAATCCAGGTCCTCATTCCCATTCCCTGTCACTGTTTCCCCAGTCTCCTTCCTACCAAGCTTCTGTATCTTCTCTTTCCTGGTTCTCGGTTTACCACTGGAGCCTACTCTACTTCCCGTGGCTACTTCACCCCTCCTAGCCTCTTTCCAGACTCCTTACACAGCCTGCTGCTTTCAGCCTCTTGGTTTTTTAGTGCTGGCCCAGCCCTTCCCCAAGCGGGACTTCCCTCTCAGTTACCCTGGCCCTCCTTCTCTCAGGTGATGTCAAGTGACCTAATTAGCTTCTCAGGCCCTCATTAACCCAATCAGGGCTGGTGTGGTGCGCACACCCTATCATAGTAGGTGAAGTGAATTCTTGGGTAGAACTACGAGGAATCAGAATGAGATAATGTGAAAAGACATTAGGAATCTACTAGGATAATAAGCGCTATGCACATTTGTAAGATGTTTAATATATATTAAATGCTTTTATATCTTATAGACTTATCAGTTTCTGTCTCGGAGAAAAAAATAAGCTTATCAGAAATTTTAGTGATGTTTACTTTTAAATCTATAAAAGCATCTTTCAGGAATGGAGCATGAGATTTAAGAATGGGGTTTTCAAAAACATCTAATGGATCAGCTTTCACTGACTTGATACAAGTTGGGCACCTGACTCCCTTAGGCACTTCAGTGGAGGAGAATTTGGAAGCCATACCAGGTTGCTAATGTCCCTTTAATGATTATTAGGAGTATAGCACTGAAAAAAATGATTTGGGAATTGTACAAGATTGATGCCTTGATGGGTTATTGTTTTATAAGTAATATTCATGTATCTGATAAGTGAAATTGCTAAAGTAGAAAGTTAAAAGATGGCTGGTAAAATTCAACTTTTTGAATCATTTTTTATTGCAATAGCCATGAATGTGTTAGGATTGCACACTAATGTCAAATCCTTCGCATATTGCTGATGTGATTCGTAGAATGTTTACAGTATTTTGACTATTGTGTCTTCCTTCTTTTCGAACCCTAAATACCTTAAAATATAGCCTCGTTGTTTATGTTTGATTAATTTAAATTTAGCCACATTTTTAGATCCTTTACCACTTGATATCAAAGATCTTTTTGAAAGGCTAATATTGGTGCCTTATTTAAACATACAAAATTACCAAGCATCTTCCATATTAACAACAAAAAAACCAGTTAACCATGCCAAATTTATCAAATAGAGTAGCAACTCTGATATCTCCAGCCAGCGCAGTTCTACTCTGTTCTTCGCGCAGTATCAGTCTGTCTGTAGGCCACGTCTACAGTATTTTGATTGTCACAGACAGTCCCATGGTAAGAAAAAGTGTCCAAGTCAAGGATTTTACAAGTTTTCAACTATTCTCATCTGTGTGAATTCTCCCAATGTATTCTAAAGCATCAGCATTAATCTCCATCTACTGGTGAGAGCTGAACTCAGTTCAGTGAAAAAGCTCCTCAGGACTCCAGTAGAGGCACCTGTTTTGTAGCTGAATCAGTATCTTTCTGAGCTTCCTATTTTTCCCCGGTGAGGGAAATATGAGATTTTTTTATTTAACTTTGCACTCTCTTATCCATACTTAGGGACAAAGTCCTGACCTAGTCAGTTACACTGGGACTTGAATTTCAGGTCTTCCGGTTCATCTCTAATAGCTTATGCACCATGCCTCCATGATGTGAGCCATATCCCCATTCTGCTTAGGAAAAAACAAAGTGAGAGCATCAGAAGGGAGAGATGCTCTCCAGGATTCCCCTCTCTGACTTTTCCCTGTATTGTTCCATTGGGGTGATACAGCTGGGAGCCTCAACCCGTGAGCAGAGGGTTGAGCCCCCAGAACCTGTGGATCTCAGTGGGTATTCTGGAGTCCTGGGCCTTGTCTCATTCTAGCTGTTTTGCAGCATGACTCCAATGAAGCCTTTTCATCAAATCCCCCACAGGGGGAAGGATGATCTGTGGCCCCCATTATCGCCTTCCCATCTCTCCATGTATAGATCCCCAATATTGTGAAAATCCTTTACAGAAGTCCAGGGATGGACAGAACCATGGATGCAGAGCCAGTCACTGCCCTCCCTGTATGCATGTGGAGCGAGATCTGTTCAGGAGATGATTGAGAACAGTGTGACAGTCACAGTGCCATGTTTTGGGGTAGCATCACTTCCAAAATAGCCTTGTTTTGAAGGAAGAGTGTAGTTCGAGAAGCTGTGAAATAACTGTCATGACTGAAACCTTCAGTCACGTAGCATTCTGAGAGTGATATTGCTGATTGGCTAAAGGTGGGATTTTCACAAAGTCTCAGCATTAGCTAGACTCTGCTTTCAGGGAAGTCACGGGCATTTTAACATTGACTTCAATGGGAGCAGACTTAGACCAACGCTGAGCACTGTTGAAATCCTACCTAACTATTAAATTCTTTAAAGATTTTAAAATTTGGGTTTGTGTCTCTTTCAGGCTGTAGAATGAGTTTTTCCTAACCCCATGTTATTATTAATTATATATTTCTAGGCAAAGAAATTTTAAGCCAGTTAAACTGTTTCTAATTTTGCATCCACAATTAATTGTTGGGTTCAGTTCTACAGAACAATCAGTTGTGCAACCCTCAAATCATATTGGTAGGTAAATGTCTATAATCTGTGTTATGTGCATGTAATTGATTGCAGGAGCAAAACTTCATGCAGGGAAACTAGATTCTAGGTTGAGGCCCTTTTGAAAATCTGGCCCTTTGTCTTATAAAAACTTGCATTAGTACCCCATTCAGGAGCAAGGAGCCTACGCAACTGCTGATCTATGGAAGCTTTGCCATCCATCCTCCCTGTCAATACTATTAAAAGGATAGTGTCTGTTCCAAGGGGTTTACATGGGGGTTTCTGACTTAGCAGATGTTTATTGTCACATGGGGCACCATGGGCTGACTGCCCAAAAGGAGTTAGGTGCCTAAGTCTCCAGTTTTGGGATCACTGCAATCCCCAGTATTCCTACTGAAACCCTGTAGGCACCTAAACTCACTCGGCGACTTAAGTTTTTGTAGTAAAAGTTCCCTAGGAGTCCATGTTTCTGCCTCTGAGCACACACAGTGCTTCTTCCCTGTGGGCAACCAGACACCTATTTCCTGCGTAAGCCCCAGAATGATGTACAAACCAGGAGAAAACAAGCTTTTGGCGTTGAACTTGCCTGAGGGGCCCAATCCAGTAGGCATTCTCAAAGACTGCCCACTGAATCAGGCCCCCATAGATGAGTTTTTACAGAACAGCCAGAGGAGGCGGAGGAAGACCTCTCTCGTAACTTTTCGTACAGTGGTTAGGATACTCCCCTGGGAGGTGGGAAAAGGGGTTGGAACAGGGATCTGTACCTGTCAGGTGAGTGCTCTAATCATGGGCCTGTGAGATTTTAGGGGGCTAGGGGGTTCAACCAAAACAATTTGGTGAAGTTACGCAAATTCATTAAATGTTTTGATGTCACTGAATCTGCATTTTTCACCAAAACCAGTTTAGGTTGAAAAATTTTGCCCAGCTGTAGTTGGGATGAAAAGTTCAAAGTTATGAACTATATCCCAGGCTTTACTACATGGGCTCAACGGAAGCTAGTTTTTACATTACTTAGGTCAGTTTTATCAGGATTCATATTTAGAGTCCAATAACAGTATTAGCCCTGGAACAACAGAAGTGGAATTCAAGTAAATTGACATTTGATTCTGATTGTGTAAAATGCAATTATGTTTCTGTTAAAATAAGGGAGCTACTTGGATGTGGAGGAACACGTATTGACTTTCAAAAAATTACTGGATTTTGTGCAATATTTTTCCTTTTCTCTTTTTAAAGTAATTTAGTTCCAGCAAATATGCACATCTGCTTTTCAAGCCGATCCTTGAGATCATATTTTTTGGAACTGTATAAAATTACTTGTAGCATTTAATATGGTTGTATGATAAAAACATAAACAGTACACGTTGTCACCAGGCAAATGTGCATCTCCAAATGTGACTGAAAATGATTGTGGTTGTCATGTTATTGCATACTATAGTAATAAACATGGTTTCAGCAATGATTAATATACAAGTACTCAAAAGTAATAATCCCTATATTCTACTCACAGTATGTTACAAGAACATAGTGGGAGTAATTTCTGTTTATACATTTAGAACTTCTGATGCTTAGTTTATCTCTTGATTTTTTTAACAAGTTAAGCGTCTCTTATTAATACAATCAATTCTAGATAATAATTTATGGTGGTGACTGTATGTATATCCAGAATCTAGTTTGTGGCAGCCCTAATTGTGATAAATCATTGCTTAAATCAATTGTTGCAAGTACCTTTTAATTTTTTGTAAATTAAATTATGTATTGATGTACATTTTGTTGTAACCTTCAAGCTTCTGTCAAGAACTGGTTTAAATTAATTTACTTGAATGGAGCGATAAAGCACTATGGAATAGTTAGTTTTGGATGCAACACACAAACAAGCATATATTGTGTTAATTCACCATTTTGTTCAGAAGATAAGTAAAAATGTTTCATTTGGTCAAGGAAATAACTGTTTTTTTTAATCTGTGTCTGAAAGAGAGAAGGAAAGAGCATCAGCATTGAACAGAGAGTAATAACCTATCCTGGCATTATTCCAGAACTTTTTTTTCAGAGCTTTTTTTAGCCATCTTTGGGAAAAGTTTTTATAAAGCTCTTATGGGCCAGTAGGGACATCTTTAATTACCTACAGGAAAGACATGAAGTACAGGATGTTTTGAGATGTAATGCTTTTATTGATCCTTTCAATAATCACAGAGGTTTTTAAATAAATTAACACTGTGTTCTAACATGTTTATAAATAGGATCAGTCACTGGCTTTTATTAAAACTGCCACCAAATTTAGGACTTTACTCTGTGCTGTTGCACACTTTAGCCTACAGTATGAAGTCATCTCCAGAATTACAGACCAGACCTTAGACTACTACCAGTAGCACACTGTGTATGTACTATAAATTGTGTTTTTTCCAAGTTACAGTGTCAGTGCAAAGTTTTTTGTGAACTCCACATTACCATGAAGTGCCCCACATTGTGTTATAAAATAAAATTTACCAAAATCAAAGCCATTGTGGTGTGCAGGTTTTTGTTTGATGTAGTGATCTGATTTACCTATTTCATGCAAAAGGATGTGAGATTATCTTTTTCCAGCAGAAGTGTAGTTTACAGCAACATGGTGATGTTGTTATGCTATGAGCTTTTCACAACCCGCTGGATGATCATTTCAGCTTCTCCATTTTGGAGACGCTAATCAAGTGTTTATTATTAATAATTAGCATTTATATAATGCATCTTCAAAGTGTATAAATATTAACTATCACAATGTCCTGTGAGATAGACAGTTGATAGGCACATTATCCCCAAGCTAGACTCAGAAATGTTACATGATTTGATCGAGCCTACGCAGAGAGAGCCAGCAGCAAAGCAGGCATTACAACTCAGTAGTTCCTAGCTCCTAGCCCCAGGTTCAGACGACTACATTATACAGCCCCCTCAAATATTGGAAAACCAGAAAACATTCAGTTTCAGTTCTGTCACACATCCCTTCAAAAACATCAGTGTTTCAACAAAGCAAACCACAACCAGAAAGAAATCCCAGGAAATACACAGTTATGGTAGCACTACCCAGACAAACGTAACTCTGCCTGCTTTGGGATGCTAACGTATGCAGACATGATAGCTAGCAAGAGATGTTAAGAATAACAAGAAGGGTTTCTTCAGGTATGTTAGCAACAAGAAGAAAGTCAAGGAAAGTGTGGGCCCCTTACTGAATGAGGGAGGCAACCTAGTGACGGAGGATGTGGAAAAAGCTAATGTACTCAATGCTTTTTTTGCCTCTGTCTTCACGAACAAGGTCAGTTCCCAGACTACTGCACTGGGCAGCACAGCATGGGGAGGAGGTGACCAGCCCTCTGTGGAGAAAGAAGTGGTTCGGGACTATTTAGAAAATCTGTGCGAGCACAAGTCCATGGGGCTGGATGTGCTGCATCCAAGAGTGCTAAAGGAGTTGGCGGATGTGATTGCAGAGCCATTGGCCATTATCTTTGAAAACTCATGGCGATTGGGGGAAGTCCCGGATGACTGGAAAAAGGCTAATGTAGTGCCCATCTTTAAAAAAGGGAAGAAGGAGGATCGGGGGAACTACAGGCCGGTCAGCCTCACCTCAGTCCCTGGAAAAATCGTGGAGCAGGTCCTCAAGGAATCAATTCTGAAGCACTTAGAGGAGAGGAAAGTGATCAGGAACAGTCAGCATGGATTCACCAAGGGCAAGTCATGCCTGACTAATCTAATTGCCTTCTATGACAAGATAACTGGCTCTGTGGATGAGGGAAAAGCAGTGGATGTGTTGTTCCTTGACTTTAGCAAAGCTTTTGACACGGTCTCCCACAGTATTCGTGCCACTAAGTTAAAGAAGTATGGGCTGGATGAATGGACTAGAAGGTGGATAGAAAGTTGGCTAGATTGTCGGGCTCAACGGGTAGTCATCAATGGCTCCTCGTCTAGTTGGCAGGCGGTATCAAGTGGAGTGCCCCAAGGGTCGGTCCTCGGGCCGGTTTTGTTCAATATCTTCATTAATGATCTGGCGGATGGTGTGGATTGCGCCCTCAGCAAGTTTGCAGATGACACTAAACTGGGAGGAGAGGTAGATACGCTGGAGGGTAGGGATAGAGGGCCCTAGACAAATTAGAGGATTGGGCCAAAAGAAATCTGATGAAGTTCAACAAGGACAACTTAGGACGGAAGAATCCCATGCACTGCTACAGACTAGGGACTGAATGGCTAGGCAGCAGTTCTGCAGAAAAGGACCTAGGGGTTACAGTGGACGAGAAGCTGGATATGAGTCAATAGTGTGCCCTTGTTGCCAAGAAGGCTAACAGCATTTTGGGATGTATAAGTAGTGGCATTGCCAGCAGATGGAGGGACATGATCTTTCCCCTCTATTCGGCATTGGTGAGGCCTCATCTGGAGTACTGTGTCCAGTTTTGGGCCCCACACTACAAGAAGGATGTGGAAAAATTGGAAAACGTCCAGCGGAGGGCAACAAAAATGATTAGGGGTCTGGAACACATGACTTATGAGGAGAGGCTGAGGGAACTGGGATTGTTGAGTCTGCGGAAGAGAAGAATGAGGGGGGATTTGATAGCTGCTTTCAACTACCTGAAAGAGGGTTCCAAAGAGGATGGATTCTCAGTGGTGGCAGATGACAGAATGAGGACTAATGGTCTCAAGTTGCAGTGGGGGAGGTTTAGGTTGGATATTAGGAAAACCCTCTTCACTAGGAGGGTGGTGAAACACTGGAATGTGTTACCTAGGGAGGTGGTGGAACCTCCTTCCTTAGATTTTTTAAGGTCAGGCTTGACAAAGCCCTGGCTAGGATGATTTAGTTGGGGATTGGTCCTGCTTTGAGCAGGGGGTTGGACTAGATGACCTCCAGAGGTCCCTTCAACCCTGATATTCTATGATTCTATGATAGCTCTTTATCTAATGCTTCTTGGGAAATTAGATGTCCCATTTCCTCAGTGTGCTCTTTCTTAGAATTAAATTTATAATAATAATAAGGGCTGGGCTTTTCTAAGGAGCTTAACACAGTTTGGTGCACAGATCTCATAGAATTCCAATGGATTTGGGGCCCAAACTCCCTTAGGCCCCTTTGAAAATCCCAGCCAATTATAACCAGTGTTTATATAGCATTTTTCATCTGTAGATCTCCAAGCCCTTTACAGAAGAAGCAGTTTGCAAAGGAAGCAAACATTTTCCCCATTTTGCAGATGGGGAAACTGAGGTACTAAAAAGTGTAGTTACTTATCAAAGGTCACAAAGCAGGCCAGTGTCACAGCCAGTAGAACCCAAGTCTTCTGAATCCACCCAGTCCAGTGGGATCACGCTGTCCACTACAAAGTGTAAAGACCTCAAAGGCAGCTCTTTCCAGCCATTAGTCACTTTCTATATGGCAGGATACAGAGCAATGAGAGAAAATCCCTCAGTCCCCCAAACACCATAACATGAGGTGCTTGCACAGTTGTGGCTCAGCCTCTCATAGGATCTAACCTCCCTGAGCCAGTTCATGTAGAATTACAACCAGAATCCACACAGGCAGTGTGACACAAAATGGCCACACAGCAGAATCTGGTCAGTGATTTAAACAATGATTCCTTTGTCTGAACTGGAAAAGAATGCCAAAAGTATTTTGCTGTGTTATACAAACAAAACATACAGACCACCAGATCATTGTTGATACCATTAATCATCAGTCAATTTTTTAAAAGTTACATCCATGTATTCATCTCTTAATACAGTCGGTTACAACAACAAAATCTTTGTCATCTGTCCAAGTTGTGATGCAACAGAAGACACAATGAAAATGAACAGCGACAGGGAGTCCTGTGGCACCTTATAGACTACTTTGCCGCTTTTACAGATCCAGACTAACACGGCTACCCCTCTGATAATGAAAATGAAAACAATCTAGCTGTGAGACTCGGAGTACCTTTCCCAGACCTGAAGAAGAACTCTGTGGAGCTCGAAAGTTTGTCTCTCTCACCAGCAGAAATTGGTCCAATGAAAGATATTACCTCACACATTTTGTCTCTTGAATTACTCCTGTCAGAATTGTAGTGACATTGTCACCACAAGCAGACAGTTGCTTCTTGGATGCAGTGTGAAAGAGCAAAGTACTCATCCAAGTATGAAAATAGCTTAATATAATTAACAATTGATTCATTGGTTTTCTTTCAGCTTCAGCTTGCCCATTTGCTTTACAGTGTAGGTGCAGTTGAACCCCTTAAATGTTGCAATTACTGGTTATTTCCTATAGTAAGTGTAGAGGAGTACAGGGGATACAGCGGATAGTGAAGCAGCCTCATCTTTTGATCTTAAAGTGGCAGATTTTAAAGCAGCAGCACTATAGGGCTACTCTAATCCTGTCAAGAAAAATTATGTCAAACATTTGTGGAAAGAAGAATTTTTCAGAGTGCTTTGGTAAAACAGTCAGATGGGACACACCAGGTAATATCCAGGTTGGTACATTATTAAGAATTGTGGTTTATTAGGAAAAAATGTAACTCAAAATTCAGTCATTTTGTGGCATTGCTTAGGTATGGAGGTCATGAAATCGCTATTCATTAATGGCCACCATATCATGTGTGTGCTCCTTAAGCAGCTGAGAACATTGCTATTGCAACATACACATATACAATGCTGCTGCAACCATACGTGAATGACGGGCAAAGCATTTCATTTTCTTTCCAGAACACCCAGTGCCTGAACCCTCATGATCCCAAAAGAAAAAGTAACTTTTATCAAATGCAGGGATTTAGATTTGTATTTGATGTGACAAGTCCTAACAACAATAGAAACAAAAGCAATGCCTCAAGTTATGATGTGGGTCTGTTGGTATCCAGTAAAAGCAAAGGGGAGTGAGTTTGTGGTTTTTCATCAATCAGAAAAAATGCTGACAGCTTCTTTCTTAAACTTTAAAACCCTGAAGGTTGTCAATCCTGTTACAAATTGTGCATGAAATATAAACAAGAGCTAGTGCTAAAAATAAAGGTTAGGGACTACATTTGAAATATAGACTATCATTGACTTAACACCCTCTCCTTTAAGTTTCCTCTTATAGTATAAGGGCCAAATTCTCAGCTGGTGTATATTGGCATTGCTCCATTGGCTTTCTTCATGAGGTCTATAAATCCTACTTCTCCCCTCAAATAACTGTGAATAGATGATAAAACAAAAATGAGGGTTATAGGAAACCCTAAACTTCACTGCAAATTGCAAATTGCTTCCTTTCTGCCATATTATCAGTTCTTATTTGTTAAGTACTGTTGATGGGCTCAGTGCTGTGGAAGACATAATTAAAGATGGCTCCTGTCCTGTAGTGCTCACAGTATTAAACTTCCCCTCCCCACAAAACACAGGGCTTGTCTGCAGGGGGAAGCGTTATCAGTTATACCAGTGTAACCTCTCCATGTGGACACTTGTATTCTGGTATAAGAGCGCCTTTTTGTGGTTTAGCTTAGACCCCTTCCCAAGAAATATAAGCTAACAGAAAAGAGACCATCTCATACCTGAGTAAGAGTGTCCCC